TTGCCACCGTTGTTAAATGAATCATTGCAGTTGATAAGTTAGTCACCCGGTTGTTAAGTGAACCTGAGTTCCCCGTGGACTTTATTTGTCAGAAGGTCATAAAAGGGGATCACATGACCCCAGGACACTGCAACGGTCATAAAGATGAACCAGTTGCCAAACATCTGAATTTTGATCACATGATCATGGGGATCCTGCAAAGATTTTAACTGTGAGAAATGGCCATAAGTCACATTTCTCAGTGCCGTTGTAATTTTGAATGGTCACTGAATGAACTGTTGTAAGCCAAGGACTACCTGTATTACTTATATATAATAAGTATATTGCCTATACTAGTATATATGTATACTTACATTACTTATATTACTATATATATAGTTTGCATTTAAATGCATATATTATTAGAATATAAGGGATGCAGTGGCTCAGTGGCTAAGACACTGAGCTTGTCGATTGAAAGGTCGGCAGCTCAGCGGTTCAAATCCCTAGTGCCGCGTAACGGGGTGAGTTCCCATTACTTGTCACAGCTTCTGCCAACCTAGCAGTTTGAAAGCATGTAAAAAAGGCAAGTAGAAAAATAGGGATCATCTTTGGTGGGAAGCAGTGGTGGATTGCTCCCGGTTTGGCCCGGTTCGGCCAAGCCGGTAGCAGTGACGATGTGACATCACCAAACTGGTTCTCTTTGTTTGGGAGCTGGGCCCTTCTGCCCGTCCCCGCGTTATTCCTACCTTTATTTCTTCTTTTTTTAGCCCAGCTGATAGGCGCGGTGATCACACGCAAAGCGTGTGCACGAAGAGAACTGGTGGTAATGGCGGTTGGAATCCACCACTGGTGGGAAGGTAACAGTGTTCCGTGCACCTTTGGTGTTTAGTCATGCCGGCCACATGACCACGGAGACGTCTTCGGACGCTGAGCACTGGCTCTTCAGCTTTGAAACAGAAATGAGCTAGTCATTCCCCCTAGAGTCGGGAACAACTAGCACATACTGTATGAGCAAGGGGAACCTTTACCTTTACCTTTATTAGAATATATAAGTTTACTATGTTAGTCATCAATTAATGCTGCCATATTTTACTATACGGAATGGAGGACCTATGAGATAGATGTATATTCATTAGTAGGACTTAAAACCGGACCTGATTAACTTAGTATGACTAAGTCTGAACCCAAAGTTATAGAAATAGGTTAACGTTAAATCCTCTTTGAGGTTATCTTGTTATTGCAGTAGGCTTGCTAATCACTTTTCCTGGGAAGCTCTTTTGGCTGATTCTGCTCCTGTTAAAACTGCTGCTGACATACACCTTGACCACTTGCTCAAGATTTACTAATGTTGCTTCAACTAGGTGTAAGCTAATGACCTTGGCCTGCAACTGTATGTATTGAAGTAAAAAAAATATATATGAATCTATTGAAGTGGAACAAATGTTATTGAACTGAGTTATTGACACAGATATCAAGGAGAATTCCATTAGAAGACAGAAAATAACCTGGGCAGCAGAAAGAATAAGAATATTTATCTGACATTTTTCCACCCAGAGATGTTCAAACATGTAGCAGTTGATTCTTATTTAACATTTTCATTGAAAATAAACAGGCATGGAGTTTATTCTATGGATTTTCTAATTGATAGGGTTCTACCTTAGGAAAACAGTTGGTAATTTGGTGACATCTATGCAAAGAGTTAAGACCAAACTCACTAGTAAATATGTAAAATCTCATAAACTGTTTATCTCTAGCACAAAAGCGTATGCTTAATTACAGAGTTCCATAGAGACATATTTTCTAATCCTATCTACTTTTACAAAATATTATTTTAGGAATCCTTTATTTAACCCAATGCTTCTACAACAGAAATTTCCAGTTCCCTTGGAACATATCTACAATTTGAATGGCAGCTCTCATTTCTACAATGTTCAGTTAGAGTAATGCTTATAGATTTACATTAAAAATAGTTTACAGGAAAATGTGTGAGAGACAGCATTAAACCATGTTGAACAGACCCAACTGCTTGCCTGAAATCATGTGTCCAATAAAAATAATAACCTCTTGCCAAATACAAATTAAGAAATGAATATCCAAATATCCAAAGATAGCTTTTGGGTACCAAAGAATCCACTGCCTAAGTTTAAGGCTTTCATTGTTTACTCTTAGAAAAACAAAACTTCTCTCTTCTAATACAGTGAGTTGGAAGCAACATGTCATATGATCTATAAATAGTTATAAATCATAAACGAAGGCGAATATATGCTTCCGTTTATGCATATATGCAAAAGTTGGCTTAAAACCCAACATTAAGAAAACTAAGACCATGGCATCTGGCCCTCTCAATTCCTGGCAAATAGATGGGGAAGAAATGGAGGTAGTGACAGATTTTATTTTCCTGGGCTCCAAGATCACTGCAGATGGGGACTGCAGCCAAGAAATTAAAAGACGCTTGCTCCTGGGGAGGAAAGCTATGGCAAATCTAGATAGCTTACTAAAAAGTAGAGACATCACCCTGCCAACAAAAATGCATATAGTCAAGGCTATGATTTTCCCAGTTGCAATGTATGGCTGTGAAAGTTGGACCATAAGAAAGGCTGAGTGCCAAAGAATTGAAGCTGTTGAACTATGGTACTGGAGAAGACTCCTGAGATCCCTTGGACTGCAAGGTGATCAAACCGGTCAGTCCTAGAGGAGATCAACCCTGAATGCTCTTTAGAAGGCCAGATCCTGAAGATGAAACTCAAATACTTTGGCCACCTAATGAGAAGGAAGGACTCCCTGGAGAAGAGCCTAATGCTGGGAATGACTGAGGGCAAAAGAAGAAGGGGACGGCAGAGAATGAGATGGCTGAATGGAGTCACTGAAGCAGTAGGCGTGAGCTTAAATGGACTCCAGAGGATGGTAGTACAGGGGTTTAAGGCACCCTGTTATTAAGCTGGTTATTAAGACCAGCTGCCTGCAATTACTGCAGGGTTCGAATCTCGCCAAGGCTCAAGGTTGACTCAGCCTTCCATCCTTTCTAAGGTAGGTGAAATGAGGACCCAGTTTGTGGGGGCAATAAGCTGACTTTGTATAAATATACAAAAGGATGAAGGCTATTGCTGAGCACATTGTAAGCCGCCCTGAGTCTTCGGAGAAGGGCGGCATATAAATCAAATTAAAAAAAATAAAAAATAAAGAACAGGAAGGCCTGGAGGAATGTTGTCCATGGGGTTGCAATGAGTCAGACACAACTTCGCAACTAACAACAACAAAATATGTGTCCCAGGATAATGTTGCAGGATCCAATCTGTTTTGGTTACTGGGATCAGAGGTTTTTGTCTTCAAAGTTTTCGGACTCATGCTAGAGCCCATCTTCAGGGAATTCCTTTCTAGCGATTGGATCCTGCAGTTATAAATCAATTTCTAAAAGATTCTGGGTCAACTTTTATTGCAAAATTAATTCCAAAGCTTTTTAAACACATTAGCTAAATTACAACTACAAGGTATTGGTTCTGCTTTGGAATACCACAATCCCAACAGCCACTTCTGTAAATTGGCAAAGTCCATGATATTTTCAAGTAATATGCTTGGTAATACAATGAGTAGAATGTTGAATTTAACTCATTCTAATTAGAGGGTTAATTCATTTGTATAAATTGTTCTGAATTAACAACTACGGGAAAAAAACATTTAAATATAATTGAATGCAGGCATTAGCTCATATTTCTTGTACTAAGGAGCAAATTAGAAGAAATTTTAATATCTACGGTTGCATTAATTATAATTATTCTGTTACACTGAGATTCAAATAGAATTCAAATTATACCATGACTTTTATTATTAAACACTTTATTTTTATTATAACATTTTATTATTAAACATTTCAACCAAGTTTAATGACTCTTTTGTTTGTTTTTTTCAGTTAGGAGAGTAGCTATTTCATTTCTATAAAACCTTTTATTTTGAAACACTGTTTTACAGAAACAGCATAACTATAGAGAAATAAATTAAAAATATTTAACGGTAAACAATTACAAATTTTCTTTCTCCCTGATTTTGAATCTCTTCTCATTTAGAAAAGTTTTCTAAAAACAAAACAGAACTGCACTGTTTTGTATTAAGTTGGTTAAGGTTATAAATTTGCATGGGTCACTTCCTACAATCTTCTATTTTAAGAAAAACACCACTTCAACAGGATCATTTATTCAGATAGGCAGATCACCCCTTTGTAGTAGGTTGTTAAAGGTTCTAGCCAGGATGCTTTAACTTGGATTCCTACACTGAAAAGAAGTTGGACTTGGCGTAGTTTTCATTCTGCATCATATTGGTAAGAAACGATAAAGAAAGACAAAAACATACAAATCCTGATGGAAAATACAGAAAGAGTAATTGTTAAATCTAAACCTCACAATATGTGGATCCAACTAGCAGTAGGAGAAATTCCAACCCAAATGCACACAACATGTAGTAACCGAGAGCTTTAATGAGGTGTGAATTCTCTCATCTGAATTTTAAAATAATTAATTTGTTCCCCTGGGGGCTTACTGTATGATCAGCTGCCAAAATAACAGGGAAATAAAACCTGAAACGGCTGCTTAGGAACTGTGAGAATTAACACAGATATACTCTGTCTTAATAACTGGATTCAAGGATCTGTGCATTTGCCAAGGTTGCTGGGCTTTTGTTTTAACTACAACAGGAAAGAAATGTTGGTCTACCCCAACATGTGGGAGGGGGCATTCTGCTCCCTTTCGCCTTTCAGCTCCAATCCAGGAGCCCTCAAGCAGTCGCATTCACGACAAACCATTTTATACCAAATTTATATTTTGCTGATAAAGAAATAAAGGGAGACTAGTATAGATCTGTTTCAAGCTATTTAGCTCTCATCAGCTAGCCATACCCTTACTCAGATTTGAACTTGGGCTTCCTGCATGTTAGGCGATTGAATTAACCTCAGTTATATATATATATGCTATAAATCATGCAAGTCCTTCTGTGCGCTCACTAATTTCATTATTGATGTTTCTCAGCAGGTGCTACAACCATTGAGAAGTACGATCTTAGGACCAATATATGGATCCAAGCTGGAGTAATGAATGGAAGACGGCTACAGTTTGGCGTGGCTGTTATTGATGACAAGCTCTTTGTTATTGGAGGGCGAGATGGCTTAAAGACATTAAACACGGTCGAATGTTATAATCCAAAGACCAAGGCTTGGACGGTCTTGCCTCCAATGTCTACTCACAGACATGGCTTAGGTAAGAGTTTCCTTTATGAAAGATGTCTGTATCAAATGTGATGGAAAAAAAATGGATTGCGGGTGATTTTGTGTCACTAGCCACAAGTCCGCAAGATGCAAGCCAGTGCCAAAAAATGAAAATAATTCTCTATTCTTAAACTGGTCCATCAACAAAAAGACATTGAAACTTAGAGCAGCTTCCATGTCTAATGTAACTTAGAGTAAATGGTAAGTTAAGAGTAAATTGAGTCAATGTACCATTACTTTATTCATAGTGGTAGGAAATATCAACAGGGCACAAAGAGAGATTGAAAATCTGTACTTTATTATGATTTTAGAATAGCAATAGCAATACCACTTAGACTTACAGTATAGACAGGGGTGGGCTTCAAAAATCTTAGCAAGGGGTACTCTGCCCAGTTGCTGAGTGGGTGTGGCCATGGTGGGCGTGGACTAATCAGCCTCCTGCACCACGGCGGGGGCGGGCATTTTTGCCCTCCAGGCTCTGGAGGTTTTCCTCGAGCCTCCGGGAGGGCAAAAATGGCTTCTCCAGGCTCTGCCTTCCCAAATGTCCATTAGGCCCATTTTTTGCCCTCCCCGAGCCTCCGCACATGCCCTGCACTTACCTGCATTCAAAATGGGCCATGTGGAGACTCCTGGGAGGGGTGGGGTGGGCAGGGCCAGCCAGGAGTAGGATTTGGGGGTTCTCTGAACTGCACAAAATCTTAGCTAGAGGTTCTCCCGAACCCCCAGCAGCCCACCCCTGAGTATATACCACTTATCAAGCTTAGAAGGATGGAAGGTTGAATCAAACTAGAGCCTGGTGAGATTTGAACTGCCAATTTTTTTTTTAATTTGATTTATATGCCGCCCTTCTCTGGAGACTCATGGCGGCTTACAATGCACTAAGCAATAGCCTTCATCCTTTTGTATATTTATACAAAGTCAGCTTATTGCCCCCACAACTGGGTCCTCAATTTACCTACCTTAGAAAGGATGGAAGGCTGAGTCAACCTTGAACCTTGGCGAGATTCGAATCAGCAGTAATTGCAGGCAGCTGGTCTTAATAACAGGGTGCTTTAGACCACTGTACTATCAAGGCTCTTGATTGCAAATTGCAGGAAACCGGCAGTCAGCAAAAATAGCCTGCAGTACTGCATTCTAACCACTGCACCACCATGTAACATATCACATGATTTGTAAATAAACTTCAGAATACACTTCTTTCATTTTCAACTAGCAAAAACACATCACATTTCCCCCCCCCCAGAAATGTACTTGTAGTTATAATTTAGTGACTGAACCCACTCGTATAGAGACATCATCATTTCAGTCTTCAGATTGCAAGTAGCTCCACAGTTTATCATAACAAAAAATGTTTAAAGTGAACTCCAGTTTTGTTTTCTGAAGGTTAGTAGTATTTAGGATAGAGTAGTGACCTTATAGATAAATCCTGATCTTTTCTTCAGGGGTCTAGGACAACTTGCCATGGCCAACACATGATGGCCAACTCACCACAGGACAACTTACTACAGCCAACTTCCCACAGAACAACTTGCTGCTGGACAATTCAATGCTGTATTAATTGTTTCGTTCAGTTACTTTTATTACTGGTGACACATTTTTGTCAAAAATTATTGTAACTCTTGTAATTCTGGATTGACTTCCTTTATTGAACTATGATTGACCATGTTCCTGTTGAAATTAATTTAACTTTTCTATTTATTGAATTGTCCTGAGCAGAGTTATCCCACGGTGAGTTGTCCCATGGCAACTTGGCTGTAATAAGTTGGCCGTGTCAAGTTGGCCATTGTAAGATGTTGCATTCCGGTTCTTCAGATGGGCCTTTAGGTAGTTTCAAAGAATATTTGGAAGGTAGCCATCCTAACATTTTTCTAACCTGAGAGCTAAGTAATTAACACTGACTTTAAAGCATAAAACAACAACAAAAATTTTCTACTTTTAAATGAAATGGTAAGCTAAAAGAGAAAGAAATTGAAGACAAAATTGTTTTTCATCAAGATTTGATCAGTATTTTGTCATAACTCCTTAGCCCCAAAATGAATTTAGCTGCTGCCTTTATAACGCAAAGTAATGTTTAAAAGGTAAAAGGTAAAAGCTGAGCTTGTCGATTAAAAGGTCGGCAGTTCAGCGGTTCGAATCCCTAGTGCCACATAATGGAGTGAGCTCCTGTTACTTGTCCCAGCTTCTGCCAACCTAGCAGTTTGAAAGCATGTAAAAAATGCAAATAGAAAAATAGGAACCACCTTTGGTGGAAAGATAACAGCGTTCCGTGTGCCTTTGGTGTTTTGTCATGCTGACCACATGACCATGGAGACGTCTTCAGACAGCGCTGGCTCTTCAGCTTTGAAACGGAGATGAGCACCACCCCCTAGAGTCGGGAACGACTAGCACATATGTGCGAGGAGAACCTTTACCTTTAATGTTTAAAAGCCATTAAACCTCTGTGTTCCTCTCCCAGGTTTTTATGCCTTCTGTACTATAATGCATTTGCATCTTTTCCTTAAAAGTAGCTAACATTAGAATTAAAAAGATGGTGGTAGCAGGATTATTCTTCTTAGCTTTTCTGGATTCCATTCTTAAATGAGAATAGATTTTTGTTTCAGTAGAGCACAATAGTTGCTTCTCTATGGATGACACTTTACTCTTGTCACGTAGTAGATGTCAGAACTGATGAGCCAAGAGAAATGTAGGGAGCTTGATGTATCCTTAATAAGAAGAACTTCAAGGTAATAACAACAGATGGTTTCTTTTCGATTTACATGGATGTTAGAGATCTTCTAAACAGAGAGATTGCCTGGTTGGAGAGACAGAGCAAATGTTTAAAATTTGAAATGCTCTGTCCTGAACTTGGAACATGCTGTTTCAATGATGTTGGAATCGCTTTGTGCTTGAAACACAATGTTTCACATGCCAAGGGGAGATTTTTCAAGCTCAGAAACTTTTGAGACGTAATTACAAGGCAGCTCAGTTTGAATGCATGGCAGCTGTTTTCTAGCGGTTCAGATTTGAAAGGTTTTGCTAGATGATAGTGACAGACTATAGGGACGCGGTGGCTCAGTGGCTAAGACGCTGAGGTTGTCAATCGAAAGGTCGGCTGTTCAGCGGTTCAAATCCCTAGTGCCGTGCAATGGGGTGAATTCCGGTTACTTGTCCCAGCTTCTGCCAACCTAGCAGTTCAAAAGCACATAAAAAATGCAAGTAGAAAAATAGGGACCATCTTTGGTGGGAAGGTAACAGCGTTCCGTGTGCCTTTGGCATTTAGTCATGCCAGCCGCATGACTACGGACACATCTTTGGACAACGCTGGCTCTTTGGCTTTGAAACAGAGATGAGCACTGCCCCCTAGAGTCAGGAACAACTAGCACATATGTGCAAGAGGAACCTTTACCTTTACCTTAGTGACAGATCTGAAGGCCTATACATTGGACTGTAACCAATTCACTGTGCGGTACTTTTTAATAAATACAATTTTAAAAGGCACAGTATTAATAGTTTTGCACCGTTTTCTCAGCAGTCATACGAGTTTAAGCTACGTTCGATAAAGAGTTAGAGCTGATTGAAGTCTTCCGGAATAACTGTGGAACAAAATTCTTTGTCTATCTCATCAATTTCTTCCCATTGTAAGTCTACTTCAATGAAAACAGCAATGGATAACCTTTGCATTGTGGCAGATGGATTTTCATTGCATTTTAAATTCAAGGTGTAATTTTCATTATACCAGCACTCTTATTTCTTTTCTTTATATTCTTTTGTTCATTGTCTAGAGCAGTTTAACAAGGGGACTGTCAATGTTTGCAGTGGATTAAATTACAGTGCAGTGGTACAAAATCTAATCTTTCCTATTTTCTTCAGCAATTTCTTTAAAGTTCAGCAGTGTTCTCCGATAGAAGCGTGAGCATAATCCTTGTTCATTAGACTGACTCAACTATTACAGACTGTCAACTTTAACCAAGAAAAATAAAAGAACCGCACTGAAACGCATATCTTAGTGATTTCATGAGACCAATTATTTTGTACCAGCTAGAACATAAGAATATATATGATAGAGAAAATTGGATTTTGGATTACGGTGTGTACCCCCAGATGATAAATATGAGAAAGGTACTTTAAAAAAGAATAGAAAGAAGGTTTCCACTGTTTTATATCTAGAGACAGGAAGATATTTTCCAACTTCCCATAACAATAATTTAAAACTATTTGTTAAGGGAGTCTTTAGACTGGAAGTTAGAATGAATACAGAAACATACCAACAAATATTTATTATTTAAGGTCAATCAGTAAACTTTAAACAATCTACCGGTAATGCAATTTTAAAATGTGATCGAATTTTATCAGTTCAGTAAACAACCTAGTCTGCATGCTGGATCTGACATAAGGAAGCCTTATTGCTCGGGCACAGAATTTAGTTCTTGTATTGGTGATTTCAAGATAGAAATAGAAATAGAATTCTTTATTGGCCAAGTGTGATTGGACACACAAGGAATTTGTCTATGGTGTATATGCTCTCAGTGTACATAAGTGGAATAAAGTACTTTATTTATTTATTTATTTATTTATTTATTTAATTTGATTTATATGCCGCCCTTCTCCAGAGACTCAGGGCAGCTTACAATGCGTTAAGCAATAGCCTTCATACTTTTGTATATTTATACAAAGTCAGCTTATTGCCCCCACAAACTGGGTCCTCAATTTACCTACCTTAGAAAGGATGGAAGGCTGAGTCAACCTTGAGCCTGGTGAGATTCGAACTTACAGTAATTGCAGACGGCTGGTGTTAATCACAATGCTATCAGTCTGCTGAACCACCAGGAACCACATTCATCAAGAATAAAAAGATACAACACTTAGTGATAGTCAAGGTTACTAATAAGTTATCAGATCATACTAGGAAACAAATAAAAACAATATAAATTGAAAGATACAAGCATCATGGTTATAGTAATAAGTGGGAAAAGATAGATTCTAGTAAGGAAGAGAAGAATAATAGTAATACAG